GGGGGGGGGGGGGGAGGAACAATGCTACAAGTGTTAATTCAAGAAATTATGGAAGTATTATAGTGTTACAACTGTTAGTTCAATAGATGGGAAGCAACTGATAAAAATTATGTCAACCAAGTCAGTCTAACGCCAATTTAAGTCCAAATAAATTAAAGAACAATTTTTAGGTCAATTTTGGGAGCATCCATCGTTCTTCATGAATAATTCATTTGATAACAATGTATATACTATCATTTTGTTTGTAATATTTTTTTAATTTCTTGGTCCTTTTTCTTTTTTTTTTTGGGTATTTGTGTGTCGTCTTTGATTTGCTTTTTGCTATATAATTATTTTGGTTGCTCCAAGGTTGATTCGACACAAGCTTCTAGCAAATCTCTTTGCTAATTAGTGCTTAAACAGAAGTATCCAAATGAGGTGTTTTTTTGTCCACGATGTTGAATGCCTTCAGTTTGCACCAAAATAGAAAATGATGAATATGAAGCTTTCTCGAGTTTTCTTCTGGTCTTAAATGGTTACTGACTAATAATTGATGTTTACATATAATAAGATTCGTATGACCAAGTATTTTCAATTATCATGATGCGAGCACAATATTTATACTCTGCTAGTACCTGCAAATAATGTTTATTTATAGTGATTGTGCCACGTTCTCTTTACTACATATGGGCATTTGGTCCAAAAGATAAAATGATACAGTGCTTTATTTTGGTCAAAAATGAATTGCAGAGCCTCATTTATCTCATACATCAACAACTCTGCAGCTTTCACCTTATACTTAGGCACTTGCATAACTCTGATAAACATAGCTTCCGTCTGGTCCACCTCTAGCCTAAGAGAATTAAATCAACTCTGAGAGAGCTCTCGACTGCGCTTAGCTGCAGCTACAACTGCATTTATCAAGATACCACGAAATCCAGCCTTCTCCAACTCGTGGATTCCAGCAATGGTTGTCCCCCCAGGTGATGCGACATCATCCTTAAGTTGACCAGGATGCTTGGCCATACCCTTGACCATTGATGCTGCTCCTAGTACCTGCAATGCAACAGAGAATTGGTGGTCATTCAACCAGCAGTACATACGAGGGAATGTGTGTAACTCTCTTGAAGAAGAAAAAGAAAAGGAATACAATTTTGCTGCTTCTCGCTATTCCAAAGAACACAACCATACTAACATATTGCACGACAGCGTATGAACAAATTGGTGGGTAACTGTTAACTTACAGTTTGAGAGGCTAGTCCAAGTGCAAGATCCCTAGGTAAACCAGCAGCCACCCCTCCATCAGCCAATGCCTCTATTGCTAGAAAAATATAGGCTGGTCCACTACCACTGACATTTCAAGGAGAAAGAATAGACTCTGTTAACAATGGTACTGGATTCCCAACTTCGCATGAACTCTGCTTGTATAGGCAAAAGCAGTTCGGAACAACTAAGATCCCCAAGCGGGCTCAAGAAACAGCTAGTCACAAGAGCAGATTTTGGCATCAAATTAAGTGATACTAAATCCGGTTTTAGAAACATTAAAGAAAGAACATGCCTTAAGCCTGTAACTGCATCAAACAGCTTCTCATCAGCTCTCCATACCTTACCAATAGCTCCAAATAACTGGGAAATTAGTTCTCCATCTTCTGTTGTTGCCTTTTCCCCCAAAGTAAAGACTATATAAAGACATATAAATTAGAAGGATACATAAATAGCAATAACAGATAACAACTCACACATAGTTATATTAGAATCAACCAAAAAATATAAATTACTAGTGACTCAGTAACCTACACTAGAGAAAATATTTCAAGGTAAAAGATCGACCACGAGAATATATTCATGTCACAAACATGTAAAGTTCCTGTGTGCTACAGAAGATAGAATTACTTCAATACATATGGGACAGAATTTGACAAAAATCTGATTATGGTTATTGTAAGAAAGTATTGCTTCTGAATTCAATTTACTTACATCTCAATTTTTTATTTAATTATCAAAGGCTCCAAACAAAATTCTCAACAACAAAACCATGTTACATAAATCCTTTGATGTAGAACGGGATATGTATGATATGGGTGTGCACTTAGTGTGGATTCTTCAAAAACTGCATGTACCTTTACAGGAAACTAATTCACCTCTATAGGATTAGACAACAAACATTTGGTAGATCCATGTCCGAAGTTAATGCTTAGATACAACCAGAGATGACTTGACTCGGAGATATTATATTTGAAGGAATAATCAATTTCTCCCTTCGTTTCAATTTATATGAACCCATTTGACTGGGCACGGAGTTTAAGAAAAGAGAGAAGACTTTTGAACTTGTGGTGTAAAATGAGGCACATATATTTTGTGTGGCTATAAATCATTGCATAAAGGTAAATTGTTTCCAAATAAGGAAAGGGGTCATTCTTTTTGGCACGGACTAAAAAGGAAATAGGTTCACATAAATTGAAACGGAGGGAGTATAACTGTAACATGATTCAAATATCAGTATCTATTTCTCATTTACCAGTGGCAGCTTCACCAACAGCAGAGGGAGTGTTTGGCATCACCCTAATAAATCGTCCTTGACCTGCCCATTCCTTGACAAAAGGATGAAAATAGGAGATGCTTCAGCCAAATGGGGAAAATTAGAAAATTGAATCAACAAAGTGAATCATTAACAGACAAGATATGCATGCTTTCGTGCATCTAGTTGTCATTCTACTCTTAACTCAGAGCAAATATACAGGTAAGCATCAGTAGACACTAAAAGGCACGGCTAGCCTAGGCATGTGAACTAATTGTCAATAATATGAGTCGTTGGTTTCACCTTCATTTCTAGAAAATATGATTAAGCAAATAAAAGTTCTCTACTGAGCCAATTTTAAATTTCCCACTGTCAGAAGCTCTGTACCTTTGGGAACCACAAGAAGAATATGTCGTTGATTTGAAGAAAGCAGGTATGTTAGGTTGTAAGTTAGCAATAAGCTCAATAGAAGAAAATCATAAACTTAAAGAAAAGAGAAATGATCCATCTTTCAACTATGTACGGTTTAGCTGATTGTTAATCATGTATATTGCAAACCACAGAAAGCTTGACACCGGGCATCTAGTGTCAATTTGCTCTTTACTGGTGCTGTATGTAAGCAGAATATTACCCCCCAGACATGTAACTCATAAAGAAAGGGGAAGTAAGTGACTAAACAGACAGGGACAACCCCATACATATATCAAACACACAATAGCGTAAAAGAAATCACACAGAAAAGATCGTGAATGCTCATGATACAGGACTGAGGGAACAGAATTAAATTTTTACATTAATTTTAATTATTCTCTATTTAATCCAGAAGTCTTGTTCTAGTAGTTTCTATAGTTATTTTCCCGTGTTACATAACCCTTACCCTGATCTAGCCATGTCAAATGTATGTACATGGGTATGGGGACTTAGATGCTTCAAGATATGCTAAAAATTAGCAAAAACCACATGTATCCTGTTATATTCTACCATATCGGTTGAGAAAATGGAATGTGCTCTCCTTATATGGATTTCGGCAATCCTCACTTCATGCACTGCATTTTAGGGTTGAGTTAGGCCCAAGATTCATATTCTTCACATGGTATCTGAGCCAAGTCATTCCTATTCTTGGTTTACACAATGTTGGATCCCCATGTTATGTTATTCACGCTCAAGTTAACCAGGCCAAGGTGGCGGCTGTTAGATTTCCCCACATTGGTTGAGGAAGTGGGTTGTTGTTTCTTATATGGTTTTGGACAATCCTCATCCAATGAGCTAGCTTTTGTGATTGAGTTAGACCCAAGCATTTTCTTCACATACCCATATTAGATATTACTCAAGAGTATTTTAAGAAGATATCCGGGGGAAGGTGGGCGTGGTTCCCATGGAAGACAAGATGCGGGAAGCTAGACTTAGATGGTTCGGGCACGTGCAGAGGAGAAGCTTGGATGCCCCAGTAAGGAGGTGTGAACGGCTGGCCTTGAGGGGTATGAGAAAAGATAGAGGGCGGCCTAAGAAATATAGGGGAGAGGTGATCAGGCAGGACATGGGGCGGCTGTAGATTTCCGATAACATGGCCCTTGATAGGAAGTTGTAGAGGTCGAGCATGAGGGTTGTAGGTTAGGAGATAGGAGGCTAGTCTGATAGTGTTTTGTTCTACGCTGCTAGTGGCTCCAGTTGTATCCTTAGTACTTCATTAGGGTTGTAGGTTAGGTCGTAGGAAGCTAGTCTGGTAGTGATTTGCCTTAGGATGTTAGTGGCTCTTGTGTCCATATTACTCCATCCATTGCGTCTGTAGTACTGTGCCATTATTATTGCTTAGTATTATTGCTTTCCTCTCTATTTCTTGGTTATTGTATTGTTGGTGTTATCTTTCTGGTTTCTTTTGTTGTTACTGCTGCATAGTCTCGTTCCATCTTCTTGTGCCGAAGGTCTATCGGAAACAGCCTCTGGAGTAGGTGTAAGGTCTGCGTACACACTACTCTCCTCAGACCCCACTTGTGAGATTTCACTGGGTTGTTATTGTTGTTGTTGTAGTATTTTAAGAACTATTATTTATTTTATTTCCAATAATTTCTTGGTTGCGACGGATTAATAGTCCTATTTAGTTTAGTTTAGAGTTTTTCCATTATTTAAACTTTCCTACTTGTTATTTGATGGTGACTTTGTGTGGTTCTCGGCAAAGTTTCGTGATTTTCTAATTTAAGAAAAAAGTACTTGCCACTTTCAAGGTGTTAGATTAAACTACCAGTAAATTGTAGAACAAATTTGGTAATCATGTCGTGTTGCTGTGATTTTGCTTGTTGAGGAATTTTATGTAAAGCTCTAACCCCATTTGTGTACAAACACAAACCTGCAAATCCTTTAACTTAACGCCTGCAGCAACCGACACCAGAAGCTGCTTCTCTGAAAGAATTGGCCTCAACTGTGACACCACATTTTTAACTGCATTCAGAAAAGTGAGCAGACCAGCAAAATCACCACGAATTCTCAAAATATCCAATAAATATGAAAAAGCAATCAATCTGGAAGCGGCAGCTTCTTTAGCGCCTAAAATCTGTAACACAGAGTTGTATGCTGAAAGCGAAAAGTTGTATTAGTTATGACGAATGTTATTGCTACGATCATTTTTTGCCTTATGCTGCCAACCAAATGATCCCTCTTTACAATAGGTTGCTTTACAGCTTTATCTCAGTTGCTTAGTTCTAACATTTAATTGAGGAAATATCATCTTTCACTTAATCTTTTCCCTGTACATTTTCCTCAAGATGGAAATTTTACAACTATCGAAACAGAAACAGAATTATTGTGGAAAAATGGATTTCAAATCCCCTCCCC